AAAAAAAACATAGCAGTTAAAATTTAATAAAAATTAACTGGTGAAATAAAAAATAATTCTTAGAACGTATGAAAGTGAAAACTGACATAAAGTTTACAATTATAATCACAATTTCAATCACAAGTATCCTCACATGATATTAATTATCCTAGAAACTGACATTTAAAGAAAAACCACAATGATTTTATGATCTTAATCACAATCTCAATTACAAGTGTCCTCACATGATATTAATTACCATAGAAACTGACATTTAAAAAAAAATTCAATGATTTTATGATTTTGACAAATCTTATGCTGCTTAGTTGTCTGTATCAGCACCTACTTTCTTATCATCTCCTCTTTCTTCACCGTCATCATTATCACTACTATCCTCACTATCTCCCTCTTCATCATCTTCATCTTCATCTTCTTCACTGTCATCTTCTTCACTGTCATCTTCTTCGTCTTCCACATGTTCACCATCTATTTCATTTAAACCATCAATACCAGCAGTATTACCATGATCATTGTTTTTTAGTGCCAAGATTTCAGTGACACTCTGCAGAAGTTCAGTTGTTTTGCTGTGCAAACCAACACACTCTTCTGAAAAAATATTGTCATTTGCCTTCTTGTCATCTTTCTTCTTTAGATCTCTGTCCTTGTCTTCATTTTGTGTCTTGGTGTTAGGTTTGTTCTCCTCATTACTGCCTGCCTCTTCGTCACCTGCTCCACCAGCGTCACCTGCTGACAAGGCTTTCCCCAGCTCCCGCTTCACATATTTCAAAGACAAATTTGGTGTCTTTGACCACCGCATTGTATCCAATATTTCTGTGCGAAAATAGGGAACAATATCATTTGCCTGTATACTTGATGAAGTGTTAATACGCAGCAGTTTTAGCAAGTTGTACTTACTAATCATACTTTCCACATGTTGTGTGGAGACAACATTCCGTCGAAGGCCTTTTTTCAGAGACCAGTTGACATGATCGCCTTCTGGCCAAAATAGTTTGGCCAGTTCCACTAGCCTAGACCGCATACCACTCCATCCCTTTTCTACAGTAGCAATGGCTTTCTTGCTAATCAATTTTTTGTCACCAATGTGTACCTACATAAAGAACATAGGTGTAGGAAATGACCAAAAAGTTGTAAGTCATAGGCAGAGAATCATCAACAGAGAGAAATCAATACCTGATCATCAGGGATCACAAGTGGGTCGCCTTCTTCATCAGACAGCGGAGCTACATCCTTGAGCGACTTTAATTTGCAGACCGCAGGCCTACTTTGTTGCTGGCCAGCATTCTTAATGTCGTTAAGAATCTCTGACGGACATCACAAGAAAGTACAATAGAAAAGAACAGCACTGCTATCATATATTTACACTGTGTTCTCCTTAGTTAAAACTTGATGGCTGAAGTATGTACAATACATGTTGTGGTTGGAGCTAGGTAATTGAGTACCCACCTCTGTCCATAACTTATATTTTGTTCTTCAGCCATCAAGATTTAACTTTAGCAGCACACAGTTGCAAACACACTACTTACGTTTCACTTCCAGCATATCATTCTGGAGTTGTGTCAATTTCTTTCCCATGTGTTTTTTCATTTTATGAAATTTACTTTGGACAGTGCTTAATTCATCAAGTGCCCTTTAGAGATTTTCCTGGCACTCGATATCGTTGCATGAGTAAAAAGACATTTCGGTCTGAAACAGATCAAAAAGCAATTAATTCGGATGTAAACAGAACATTTAGAAAAAAAAGAAGGGTAAGTGTTTACAGTGCGCTCTTGGGTTGACTCTTTGAAGCTATTCCCTTCAATTTTATTTCCATAGGCTGTCTCAGAACTTTCTTTGTCCTGCAACAACGAAAAAAGGAATGAAAACCTGAAAGTTTACGCATAGCAAAGTACAGCTGCAAATACAAGTGCTTACTTTCTTCTTCAACTTTTCAGAAGGTTCTCCATCAACTTTTATAATGTCACCTTCAATCTGTGGGGTAACAGAATTTGCTCCCTCTGCCAGAACAGGCGTCATGATTGCCATCTTCTTCAGAATCTCTTCATCCATCTTAGATTCTTGTTCCAGTTTGGCTTTCATGTCTTTCTTTCCACTTTTCTTCTTTTTTGTACCCTGAAAGAAAAGACTTGATCAAATACCCACAATATTTGAAGAGCAACAGTTAAACGTTGAATTCATTTACCTTTTTGACAGCTTTCACATCAATTACTTCTGGGACATTTGTCTTCTTCTTCTTCTTATCTCTTGGAACAACAATTGAGTCATTATCATCACCATGGGACTTTCTCTTCAATTCTTTTTTTCCAGAGGACTGGGCAGCCAGTACCTGGTCCTCATTGATTTTTACTTTCTTCTTGGTTTCCATGTTTAATTTCTAGAGTGAAAAGTGAATAGTTGCAATCACATTATGAATTAATTGTATGGTTACATACATCTATAGTAGGTAGTAATAAAATTTGTACCCTTGAATCTTGATTTAGCTGCCTTTCTTCTTGAATCAAGAATGGGCGTAGGTCAATATAGGATGGGCCTTCCGAAAGCCGTTTAGGCGTCCTAAATCTCTTCCCTTTCTCGTCAAACTGTGTCTTTAGGGCCTTTGGTGAATCTGGAAAAAAGTAAACATAATCAAATATTTCAGTGCATTTCTTTCCATAGAAGTTTTCAGAATGCAGCAGCCGTGCAATAAAATCTTTAAGGTTGAGTCATCCATAAGGTCAGTTTCTAGATCCGCTAAAAATAGTCCAAGCGTTTAACTTCAAGCAGCTCAAAGAATTTATCACGACACAATAATTGCAAACAACAGAATATTTTAGAATTAAGTCTCCTACTTTAAACAACTTGGCAGCTACTGTTGTACGAGACAGTAACTAAAAGGCAATGAGACAAATACTTGACATTTAGTTCAAAAAATATTGAATTAATATGAAACAGGTCAAATAAGACCTATAACTGAGATATTGAGCTGTTTTTGTGTAGCTACATGCAACTGGAATACTCAAGGTAAGGACATAACCTGACAGCCTTATACCACTTCCGACAGACTTGGTTCACCAAAGGGCACATTGCATAGATAAATCACTTACTTGCAACATCGTAAATGTAGAATGCATTCAGTCTCTTGCCATCTTCTAGGTGGTAAGTTTTACTGTTCGGACCCGCCCATGCTTCTGGGTCGAACGCTCGACGAGTGTTGTGTGTGAGGACCTCATACAATTGTTCACTCTTTACAGTGCGCCGTTCCTTCAGATTCAAATCTTCGCCAAAAACATACATGTCTTATCTCAAATGTTGTACCTCTTTTCGCTACTTCACTTCAACCCTTCAACTTCTTTCCCTTCTTTCGCGCGCTGAACACCCTGCCTTCGTGAAACGAACGTAACGGTCACATCGAGAACATTCCACCGTCAACTGTTAAGAAGTGCTACCAACTTCAACACTTCAACACACAAACCGCCAAACAGTAGTTTCCTTCAGAAAGAAAGCGTGTGGAGTTCATAGAAATGAAACTTACAATAAGAAGCACTAATTGACCTCGATTAAAGAATACTTGAACTGCTTTTCATTTTTTACGAGCGGCGCAAATAATCGCTGTTGGCTACGGCGGAGCCTCCGCCTTCCTTGAGTGTAGTGTACCACTCGATCACAACAAAAACACAAAGTCACAACTCGCAGACTCGCAACTAGCTCAGCTATGGTTGGAAAAATTATTCGTTTAGTCGTTTGTCATTGAATAATTTTGATCGAACTATCAGTTAACTTGTTCGATTTTGTATTGGTGAAAGCACAATATGTCGGTGAAGACTAATCAAATAACCGTCAGTCTGTTCTTCCAACCCTAGCTAGAGGCGGCTTCAGGCAACAGTTGTTTGTTTTTCTACTGCTGTTGCTGGTTTCATTGTGTAACTTTAATTAAAAAGTTATTATTATGAAAAGAAAAAGAAGCAGGTCTTCACTTTGGCGCGACCAAAAGAATCCTTGGTCATGTTGCGTTTATCATGCTGATGTTCCCTCCCTAAATGAGAAGTGTGAATGCGAATTTCACAGTATTGAATGCTGTGAATATCATACCAGTGCAGAAACTTTTTGCTGCGAATATCACACAGCTGCAAGTCCTGCGAGTGTAAGTTTCTTGCAACTTTACCAATACATCGATGTTTTAACTTTGCCTCTGTTTTTAATGTCAATCACTTTTGCAGGTACTGGAACACGACGTAACACTTTCTAGTCATGACTTTGCATCAGACAACATTGTCAATGACTGTGTAAGTAGTAGCGTATGCTGTGTGTATGCTTTGCCAACTAATCAACAATACTACGGTTTGTTATTATCTCTTATATTTTCATCCACAGGATCCTGAACCTCTGTTTGCTGAGCAATTACCATCCCCAAGAACTCGGTGTCGCCCTCCTGATTTTAGTGATGATGAATTTCAAGTAAATACAGGCAAAGTACTTTTAAGCAGTAGGTTAGGTTCTCTTAACAATCCTGTGGTGCACTTTGTAGTCTTCCTACCTACCAATCTTAGAAAAAAACATCGGAATTATATGTGGTAACAGGTTTTTTGGAAAGTGAGGTGGACCTTATTTACTATCTAAAGCCGTCTGCTTTCTAAATCACATGTTACCTGTAAAAATGTGTCTGTATTTTCAAAGATTACTAGCCGGAAAGGCAAGTAGGTTGAAAGATGGTGAAGGAGCACCCATGTGTCAGTCAGAAATGAGTGCATGAATGGTATTTAAGACAGCATAAATAGCTTATGCTTATGCTGTTTAAGGCTGATCACACACTGCCACTAATACGAGTTTAATTATTATTGCAGACTTCAGAGCAACTTTATCGGGAGCAATTACTGCCACATATGTCAGCTTCTTCCAACTCCACTTGTGATACAGAATCTAGTTGCCAGTCTGTTGGTCAAGAAGAAGAATTTCAAGTGAGTGCATTTGAGTTGCATGTACAAGTTCTCACTGTTTTCATTTCCACTGTTTGATTAATGTGACTCACCACTTCTATTTCCCTTTGCATATGTCAGAGTGATGACTGATTGCCACTAATAAGAACTGTATCTCTTTCGTTTTTACAGCAACCCGACAGTGATGACTCATTATTCGAGTCTTCTCCTGGGAAAGATATTCAAGTGAGTCCCACCATTTATTATATGGGGTTCAAGGATATTTTGGGGATTTTTCAGCATTTGTATTGCTTTAGTTGTCACATAATTTCTTTTGAATGTTTCCTCCTTAGAAATGTTAAATCAATAATAAAATTGTTTAGGTTCCTCAACTTAGATGTCACATCACTATAATGAAATGGAATCACCCAATTGTTTTCATTAGCTTGCTCTCTCAGAAAAAATTGCTGTCAATCCATTGTGGACTATGAAACAACTCATGGCAATGAAGGCAACTCATGAAGGGCCTCAATATAGTATTTGGAGGAATACTTTGCTTTACTTCATCATCTATTTTTTTTCTTTATATTTTAAATAGAAAGTCAAATCTGGTTTCATTAGAAAAGCTGTTGCTTCATATTTATATATCTTTATTACAAAAGTAATCTTGTCTTGTGAGAGCAAGTTTTAAATACTGATTAAGTGAAACAGTCTTTCAAATCAAGACTTATTTCTGTACATAAATGCTGAATATCTTAGTATTGGAGTAAAAATCCCTTTGTATTCTCATTTTCTCACAAATTTTAATTCGTGTTTATGGTTTTAGGTGTGTGCTTATGATGAAGATCCTAACAACGCTCATGACTCTGATAATGATTCAAGCAGATCAAGAAGTGACATTTCCGCAGACATTGAATCAGATGATTCTGAGCCACACGACTCACAGTCTGATGAAGATTCAAACTCAGATGAGCCCGATGATTTTGATCCACACGACTCACAGTCTGATCAAGATTCAAACTCAGATGAGCCTGATGATTCTGACCCAGATGACCCAGACTCGGAACCAGAGGATCAAAATCATGGCCAAGATCAGTCCGATTCAGATCCTGACGCTGACATGCAGAGAGGGGCTCGCAACTTCTCCCTAGAAAATTATAATCTTGATGAGGTGTTGGAGGCAGCAGAAGGGCGCACAGCACGGGAGGTTGTTGCAATGGTCATTGCTTTAGCTGTTCGCAGTAATTTAGACTATCAGACAGTTGTCAAAATTTTTTCAATAATCCATGCAACTATGGATAGATCTAGGTTACCCATCACTAAAGACCAAATGTGGTCTTCTTTAAGCAGGCAAGCAGCAGGGATACGCAAACATGTATATTGTTCGGAATGTTTTAGATTAATTGGTTTTCTACCTCATCTGGCAAATCCTGTCGTGTGTATTTGTGGCTCAACTAAGCCCAAGTCAAAAATGAAGTATTTTATAACTTTAAATGTCCGGAGTCAATTAGAAGCAATCTTAAGCAAACCAAACATGTGGAACAAATTGCAGTATCCTCAGCAAAGGCAGAAGACACACCCAGACGCAATAGAAGACATTCTTGATGGGGAAGCCTACACAGCACTTAGACATGAACAGGCACTTACCCCAAGTGACTTTACATACACCTTCAATATGGATGGTTTGAAGACAAGTAAATCATCAAAAAGTGAAGCATGGCCAATTTTCATGAAGATAAATGAATTACCACCAAATCTTCGCCAGAACAATGTTGTTCTGGCAGGAATATGGTTAGACCAAGACTACGTCAACTTCAGATTGTTTATGAAGACATTTGTGAAGCAATCAAACAAGTTATCTACTAATGGTGTAGTATGGAAACCAAACGGTGTGGATGATCAAGTTAGCCGCTTCCTTCCAACTTGCTGTTGTGCTGATGCCAAAGCAAGAGCAGGAATATTAAACATGGCACAGTATTCTGGTTCATTTGGCTGCACATTTTGTGAACACATTGGAATTAAACTTGAAGGGAGTATGAAATTTCCTATCCCAGGCACTGTGGTTCACAGATTAAGACGGCGTAGAAGGCAAGAATATGTAGAGAGGGTAGTGATTCCACCAGCACCACGGCGGACTCATAATGGCATAAGAGCAGCTATGATATATATTGGTCGACATCCAGGAACTCCTAGGATACGAGGAGTGATTGGGCCATCTCCATTGGCACTCATGTTGCACTTCAATTTTAAAAGCGGTTGTTCAACTGATGACCTGCATCCCATTTTCAAAGGTGTAACAGAAACACTTACAGAACTAATTTTGGAGGGAGTTCCTAATGAATACCAGATTGGAGTTCAAGAAAGAAGCATTATCAGCAGGCGTTTGGCCAGTATACTCACTCCCACTCACATAACTAGGAAGCCAAGGTCTATTGATTTAATACACATGTGGAAGGCATCTGAATGGCGTAATTGGCTGTTATACTATGCCATTCCATGTTTACTTAATATTGTGCCTGTGAGATACCTCAGACTGTTAGGTCTCTTGTCCAATGCTATTTTTCTTCTGTCAAGAGATGTCATCCAGGAAGAGGCATTGGTGGAGGCAGACCAATGCCTTCAGGAGTTTGTCCAACAGTTTCAAGCTATCTATGGACCTGCGAGAATGGTTTTCAATGTTCACATTCTCACTCACATTGTGGAGTGTGTAAGAAATTGGGGGCCATTTTGGGCGCATAGTACCTTTCCTTTTGAGTCCTGGAATCACCGCATAGCAAAAACAGTGTCGTCCCCGAAAGGTGCTGTAGACCAAATAGCTATGCGCTTTGTAATGCAAACTCTTGTCAATGGAATACCTGAGAACCCGGACATATCCCAAGAAGTGAAAGATTTGATTGACCGGAAAATAATCGGCTCCAAATTCACAGCTGTGAGGACATTAGGTGGAGCTCACTTTGGGGGAGAAGTAGGAATTAGGAATGCCACAGACCAAGAACACAACATTTTAGCAGAAGAGGGATATGTGTGGCATGATTTGCATGAATACAAACAAGTTAAATGGAAAGGTTTTGAGTGCCGTTCTTTGAGGTATATGCAAGAACTGAAATCAAACAACTCATTCATCTATACCACGGATGATGATTTCGGTGTTGTACATTCAATTGTGATATTGCAAGGAGAAAATGAAGTGGCAGGTGTGTTTGCAACACTGTATGATTGTGGCAACCCACTTCATGGCGCCTCACATTTAGTCCCGATTGTAAATGATGCTGGAATGGTTTTTATTCCCCTGTCTGATTTAAGAAACTTAGCGCTTAAAATGCAGGTGATCAATCAATGGTACATTGCACCTATGGCAAATCAGGTAGAAATAGACTGATGTTCTCATTTAACAGTTTGTTTAAAAAGGTAATCCAGGGTTAGCAAACATCTGCTGCTGTTATGCTCTTCTGTAAATTTATAATTTATTTATTGTATCATAGCTTAAGTTTTAAAATGTTTTTCACAGATAGTTACCATTGTCCTTATCCTTTAAAACTAGGAGTGCTTGCTTGGTACACTCAATAAATAAACTAAATATTACAGTGTACACACAATCTTGCTGTTTTATTCATTCTTGAACACAGGATGATGGTTGCTCTGAGGAAATTGACACCTTTAGTTCCGCTTCCAACTCTTGCACTTTCTTCTTTAATGCAGCAATTTCAGTGAGAAGGTCATCTTTCTCACAACCTGAGCACAAGGGTTCTTTTCGTTCTCCAAGCTCTTGCATGACTTTCCTAACTTCTTTTGCTGCGGATGGCACCCTTTGAATTGCAGTCCTGTAGACGTAGCAATGCCATTCCAGATGTCCATAGGACTGCCTGAGGGACTCGTACTTTATTTCTTCATCCTGCAACAAGTTGACAAATGTTTCTTTTACATTATGTTCACATATTTAATATATTGTCATACACATTCACCCAACGCATTCTCAAGAATAATGGGTAAAGTTTCTTTAAATTACCTGGTCATCGAATGAACGTTCACTTTGTGACTCCACAGGTGGATCGTCGTACACGACATCAAAGTCTTCATGAAAACCTGAGATGATCTCAGACGCTTCAGTACAATCGCTTGTGATGTCCGTCATGATACCCCCAAGAGCAGTAGGCAATTTTAAACCCAACTTTGATTGAGAGAACAGCCAGAAATCTTGGAAATCAAACTTGAGTGGGTGGTGATGGATACTTGATTTCATTTCAATATTTCAAGTGACTATCCGCATCCGCCTAGTGGGAGTGGAAACAATTGAAGAACGAGTGGATGAGGGATGAGCCAGTCCTACCACCACCATGACGGTACAATTCGACCCCCCCCCCCTCTTTTCCCCCTTCCCCTAAAACGGCAGTACGCACGTACGCACGTACGCACGTCAAATTCGGCTCCATGGGTGGGGACAGCCGTGCAAGGACAACGAATTGACGGGACGCATTTCGGTTGTAAGCCATCCATGGACGAGAAGGCCATTTAACTTACACATCTGGTCACAGAACTCTAGGTAGCATTTGGGCAGTAAGTGGGACGTAGTGGACAGCAATGGGACAGTGCAGGACCCAGTGGGCCACAGTCGAACGTGACAAAACGCGCCAGGCACTACCTAGGACGTTCTTGGACACCTATAGGACACGACTCCTGGACCCATTGAGGCTGCAGTAAGACGTGCCTTTTCGCCCCCGGTACCTCTTTGGACGCGTTTGGACAGTCCTTGACTATGGAAATGGAGACAGCAGCGGGACGTGTTGGGCGTCGCCATAGGCACGAGGAAAGCAATTACACAGTGCTCTTAGACCCTTTTGGACATCAGTAGGACGCGGCAGGAGGTGATCTGGAAAAGGACAGCCTCGGACAACAGTTGGACAGGCTTGGCTGGACGAGAGTGGAAGTGGGG